TCAGGGCAGGCGGGGAGCGCAGGTCTGTGTCTGACGCGGTGCCAGGGGTTCGGAGCGGTAATCCAGGAATCTGGCACTGCCCGTTTAGGAGCGCGGGCGCAGGAGGAGAAGGGGACTCTGGGTGCAGCCCTAAGGCCCGGGAGGATCCGCGGGAGGCGGCAGGACCCAGGGCCTTGAATGCCGGGCCGCAAGATCGGCCTCCTCCCGTCCGCGAAAGGAGCCCCGAAAAGCTTGTGCCCAGGAGGGAGGCCTCGGCCTGGCCGGTCACCTTGCAGGAAGGGTCCCGGACAGCGCAAAGCCAATGCAGGAGGCGCCCCGCCCTAGCGGATGGGAAACGCCCCAGCCGCTGAAGGCGGAAGTAACGGCCTGCAGGCTACGGAACGCCCGGCGTTCGCAAGGGCGGGAGGAGCCGGAAACTCCGGGCGCGAGGCCTGTGGGCCCAGCGGTGCGGCCGCCGCCGAGGGGGCGGGCCCAGCTCTCCCGAGGCAGGTGATGGGTCGGCCCCGGTGGCGGCGGCGGCGGCGGCGCGCGCGACGGTCCCCTCGGTCTGGGTGAGTCCCTGGGCGCGAGCCCGGTCCCCGCTAGCTCCTGAATTGCCTCTCGGCGCCGGGCTGTGACTCCCTCTGGCCGGCCCGGACTCTGGCTCCCGCGGCACCGTCTGGAGGGATAGAGCCGCGCCGGGGCCTCCTTTCGGGAGCGTTCCCGTTCTTCTCTTCGGTCCTGCCCGGCCAGGACCCCTCAGGGACTTTTGTGGGGCAGGGGCGAATCGTGCGTGGCCTAGATGACCCCAGGCCTAGAAGAAGGCAGTGCGGGGCGGTGGCGGCGCGCACCGCCGAGTGGAGCAGAGAGCGTCCCCGGGGCGGGAGCCCGGTAGCGGGGGCAGGGAGACGCGGAGGCCGCCGGGATGCGGACCCAGGGGACGCCAGGCCGGAGTGCAGGAGCCGGAGACGCGAAGGCGGAGCGGGAACGGATGAGGGAGGGGGCCAGACTGGGAGGGAGGGTGGAGCAGGGGCAGGTCCTGGGCGGGTCGGACTTTAGGGAGTGGAGAGGAGGATCCTGGTGGAGAATAAGACCAGCTGGGCTAAGGCCCGAACACTTGGAGGCAGCACGGTCCTAGGAAAAGGTTGAA